ATTAAGTAGTAAAATTTCACATCAAATAATAAAATGTGTGTGATTTAAATACATAAAAAAATTATTTTATCTATTGTTAATTGATTTATTAAATATAAATTTTATACTAAAACATTTAATGTTTACATAAGATAAAAAATGTTATGAATTAAAAGTTTAGATTAAAATCAACATTCAAGAATCTCCTTTCTGCCTCATTATAATTTTTTTTTTTTTTTGTCTTTTTCTATCCCTAAAAGAGGTCTTTGTGAAGTGGAGACAAACAGAACAAACAGAAGCCTTAACCTCTGTTTAGATGGATTGATTTGGGGGGAGAGGGAAGGAGAGTGAGGGGTAACTGTCCCTCTTTTTTTGTTTATTTTTCTTTATTAATGGAGAGGAAGGGAAATGAAAGAGTGATAAAACCCCTTTCACTTTTTTATTTTTAATTTTTTTAAATTAGAAGAATTGCAAGAGATTTGATTTATATATTTAATAATTTTTAAAAATTTTTAAAAGTGAATATATAAAAATATTTTATTTCAATTATTGTTTTTATTAATAATTTTTAAATATTTTATTTTATTTTTAAAAAATTATTTAATGAAATAAAAATATTTTGTTTTTCACTCTTTTACTTATATCTATCTAAATAAGATTAATATCCACTTTTTTCTTCCTCCCGCCCACTTCCCCTCTTTTCACTTCTCCTCCCTCCTTTTCCTTTCCTTCACTAGCTTTTATTCAAATAAATCCTTAAAAAGAGAAAAATGTAACATATTGTAAGGGGCAAAACAATCAAAACAAAATTAAAATTGTGACATTAACAATTTTAAGTGCTATAATATCCCATCCATCCTCATCAAACGCAACATGGAAAAGAAAACAAAATATCTTTTTATATCAAATAACGAAATATGTAATAAAAATAAATTTTTTACGCAATAAATTATTTGTTTATTTTAAAATTTAAATTTAAAAACTTTTTATCACTTAAAACAATCAATTGAGCTAGACATAACTAAATAATATGAAAAATGATTTTAAAATAATTTTTTTTATTAATGTATTAGTATTCGATAATTTTATTAGATTTCAATTAATCTGAAATTGAATCAAGTCGGATCTCATATGAAGAAAA